TTTTTAAGTTTACGCCTCCACCCACGCACCCACCCACGTAATCGTATATTTATGAACCGATTTTTTTAAATTGGTACCAAAATGTTGCAAATTTTTTGAAGATGACGACGATGTAGTTTTTTCAATTGTTACACCTCCACCCACGCATTCACCCACGCGCGTGCGCATTTATGGACCAATTTTTACGAAATTGGTACAAAAATGTTGCAAATTTTTTTGAGAAAGCTGCTGTGTGGTTTTTTAAAGTTTTATCTCACCCACGCATTCACCCACGCATTCACACATTTATTCACAGACTTTTTCGAAATTTGTACTCAAATTTTGTTGGGGATGGCTACTATGATTTTAACAAATTTTTATCATCCTATTTATCCACCCACGCACCCATACACCCATGTGCATACGCATTTATTGACTTGGTCACACCAATAAGTAATTTTAAAAAAATTTGTGTACATGTTTGTGATTGCAAAAATTTGCAACATTTTGGTACTAATTTCGTGAAAATTGCATACAAATTAAAGGTTTATTTACACGAATTGCACACATAATCACAAATACGTACACAAATTTTTTAAAAATTACTTCTTGGTGTGACCAAGTCAATAAATGCGTATGCAAATGGGTGCATGGGTGTGTGGGTGGATGAATAGGATGATAAAAATTTGTTAAAATCATAGTAGCCATCTCCAACAAAATTTAACTACAAATTTCAAAAAAGTATGTGAATAAATGTGTGAATGCGTGGGTGCATACGTGGGTGGGATAAAACTTAAAAAAACCACACAGCAGCTTTCTCAGAAAAATTTGCAACATTTTGGTACTAATTTCGTGAAAATTGGTTCATAAATGCGCATGCGTGTGGGTGGATGCGTGGGTGGAGGTGTAACACTTGAAAAAACCACATCGTCGCCAAAAATTTGCAACATTTTGGTACCAATTTTTAAAAAATCCGTTCATAAATATGCGATTGTGTGGGTGGATGCGTGGGTGGAAGCGTAAACTTAAAAAACCCCACACACATACAGAGAGAGAGAGAGAGAGAGAGAGAGAGCGTGTGTCTTAAAGAAAGAGGGAGGGAGAGAGATAAGGAGAGAAAGAGCATGTGTCTTAAAGAGAGAGAGAGGGAGCGCGTGTGTTTTAGAGTGAGAGAGAGAGAGAAAGCGTGTCTTAAAAAAAGAAAAGAAAATATCTGAGAGAAAGAAATAGATAACATAGTAATCATCTACAAAAAAATTTAAACATTTATTTGGTATAAATTCGTGAAAGTCGAACAACAAATGTGGAAGTAGTTTGCGGTAATAAAAAAAGAATTAATTTTTTGTGAAAATCTCTCCTCCAATTTTAAAGTCGACCAGACTGGCAATAATTTATTTTAAATAATTAGTTTAATTTACAACGTTTCGGCTGTCATTGCAGCCCTTTTCAAGTAATCTATAAACAATTATATACATATAAATATAATCTTAATGCGCTTAATCATACAAATAATTATAAATTTACAAAAATATATATGTTTACATACCAGATTAATACAATAAATCATATTTACAGCAAATCCCCGACAAAATTCACCATTGTTTTGATGAACAATGTATAACTGACAGAAGTAAGCCCGAAATAAATAGATGTTGACTGTTAGTAGAAAACTTAGTCATTACGCGTTGAGGAAATATAAAACCAAAGTACTGTGTCTTTCGCAATTTTAAAACCGTCAATACAAAGTCAAATAAATAGATAAATAAATAAATAAATAAATAAATATGTAACATATGACAATATAATATATTAAATAGCTTCAAGAACGCGATCATAAATCCCACTGAAATTCTCCGTATCTTTTTGTAAATTAATGCTTTTTCTTGGTTTTTTATATAGAACATTTCTGCTATTTCTCTTTTTCTCGTTTGTTTTTCTTGATGCAGAATCACAGGAGAATCCCAACGGAACTCATGATCGTTACAAGTCCGATGCAAACTAACAACTGAGTGTGATGTCGTGTCTTTTTAATGTTATTTTTATGTTCCTTAATACGTGTTTCTAAATGTCGCTTTGTTTGTCCAATATATGTAGAGTAGCAATTCGCGCATTCGATCTTATAGACGACATCGGTTCTTTTTAAGTTATCAATACTATCTTTTCCTCTTTTTATCAAAGTGTCTAATTTTTTTGGAACGGTATATACTACACCGATTCCATTTTGTTTATGCAACGAGTAATATTTTCGCTCAAATCTCTAATATACGGCAACACTATAACATTTCGTGTATCAAATTTATCTCGATTAGACGCACCAAAATTACCGCCAAATTTAATCACCCTAAGTCTCCTGTTAACAATTTTGTTTATGACTGTTAACGGGTAACAATTGTTACGAAGAATTCGTTTGACTAAGATGATGTTTTTCTCGTGAAACATAGGGTCAGCGAGTAAAATAGCCCTGTCCACGAGACTTGTGATCACACTAATTTTATAACGCATCGGATGGTTCGAAAGAAATTTATATAACGGCCTGAAAACGTAGGCTTACGGAACCAGTCAGTCGTCAATTTGCCATTAACTCGCATAACGCTTGTGTCTAAAAAACTTAAGGAACAATTGTTCTCCAATTCAAACGTAAACTTTAGTCGAGTGTGAAAACTATTAAAAATCGTAAGCATATCCTCCACTTTACATTTCGGAATAATTGAAAAAATGTCATCAACATATCTGAAATAACAAAAGGGCTCAAAATCCAATTGACATTTAGAAACACGTATTAAGGAACATAAAAATAACATTAAAAAAGACACGACATCACACTCAGTTGTTAGTTTGCATCGGACTTGTAACGATCATGAGTTCCGTTGGGATTCTCCTGTGATTCTGCATCAAGAAAAACAAACGAGAAAAAGAGAAATAGCAGAAATGTTCTATATAAAAAACCAAAGAAAAAGCATTAATTTACAAAAATATACGGAGAATTTCAGTGGGATTTATGATCGCGTTCTTGAAGCTATTTAATATATTATATTGTCATATGTTACATATTTATTATTTATTTATTTATTTATCTATTTATTTGACTTTGTATTGACGGTTTAAAAATTGCGAAAGACACAGTACTTTGGTTTTATATTTCCTCAACGCGTAATGACTAAGTTTTCTACTAACAGTCAACATCTATTTATTTCGGGCTTACTTCTGTCAGTTATACATTGTTCATCAAAACAATGGTGAATTTTGTCGGGGATTTGCTGTAAATATGATTTATTGTATTAATCTGGTATGTAAACATATATATTTTTGTAAATTTATAATTATTTGTATGATTAAGCGCATTAAGATTATATTTATATGTATATAATTGTTTATAGATTACTTGAAAAGGGCTGCAATGACAGCCGAAACGTTGTAAATTAAACTAATTATTTAAAATAAATTATTGCCAGTCTGGTCGACTTTAAAATTGGAGGAGAGATTTTCATTATTTATTACTGGCGACTCTTAAGGATTATCATTTATTAATTTTTTGTGTTAAAACGGATTTAATATAGACTATATATACCGAAAAGCTAGTAATTAATTAAAAATAAATTCTGAAAAATTATTACAAAAAATTTAGATTTTTAAAACGTTTTTGAGGAAATTATAAAAAAAAAATTTAAGGAATATTTAACATTTATATGTATACATGTAAAAAATTTTTATAAAATTTATAATATGCAAAATAATTCAATACTATTGTCAGAATATTTATGGATAATTTTAAAGTGTTCTATTTAATATATATTATATATATATATATATATATATATTAAATGTATATACATTTAAATGTACAGACCTGGAAACTGCCATATAGTTCTAGATTAAATGTACAGACCTGGATATATAATATATATATTATGACGTGGTCTTTTTGAGCCCGTCACAAGGGCGGACGCGCCCGGCCGGGAAGCGTCTGAGAGCGCTGTACAATTTTGTGTTTCGTGCGGGTGAGCAGCGGCCTTTTCGCTAGCTCGCCCGCACTCAGTATCGGGATCGAGGTGGTAGGCCAGGAGAACGGCCATTGTTTTAGGGAGAAGAGGACCTGGGCAGACGACGGAGGAACGACCTCGGAGGGGGAGGAGCGGAGACTGAGCGACCGGCCCGGTGAGTATTAAGAACAATAAAATATACGCGGTACCGAGAAAGTAAGGAAGGGATACTGCGAATAAACTCGTTACAGCCTCGATGGGACGAACAGGAGCAGTCCAAAACAGGGAGGAAAAGGCGCCTACATTCCGCGACCAGGATGATTCCCCTGAGGGGCCCGCCACCACACATCGAGAGAAACACGGAGATCTAACGGGACTGATCATCCCGAGACGACTTCCCTCAGCAAATAAAGGTCGTTCGGAACATCATACGGCCATACGAGGTGTGGACGGGACCGCCGAGAATGGACCTGCTGCACCGTCGCTCCCGAGGGCTGAAATTTGTATTTGGCGGCGGAAGTCCGCGACCAGCCGCGAGACACAGGAATCGATACGAAGATCGATTCCGGGTCCGGCGCGGGGCGCAACGCTGCCGCGAAACCTGGCAACCGGGCCGGGGTGGCGCGCATTGTCTTCCCCCTCCCCACCAGCGTACCTTCCGAGGTCCCGCCGGCCCGAAAGGAACTCACTGTTCGGCAAGCCGGTGTCCTGCGAGCACGAACAAGGACGAAGACCCACAGCGACCACCTGCGACGGCGAATAATTGTAAGGCCACCTCCTCGATCGTCCGGTAAGCGCGGATTCGGCAGAGACCCGTGAGTTATTAGAGAAGTATAACGATACCGAGCAATTATGCTGTAAACAATTTAGTACCGAGAATTAGTTGAGAGACTCACGGGACTCGCGTCGATTTCCGCGTCATTAAGTTATTGCGTAAATCTTTGCCTTCTTCGCCTCTCCGAGGGGCACCGAAACGAGTCGACAGTCATATCGTAATATATTGTAATATTAGCATTGTATCGAGTCATTGATTAACAATCCTTGAGAATAAGTTACGCTGGATTAGAGTATGATCTATTCGATTCCGAGCCGGATACAAAGGGAGAAGAGCAATGATAACTAAGGGTGCGATTACATGGACGCGCGGAAACGCGGAAACGCGGAAGAGAAAGTAACTAGATTCCGCGTTTCCGTCGTTTCTTCTCGCGTGTTTAAGCGGAGATCGCTTTGCCGGACGAGTTTCCAATGGATAATCCTGTAAGTATTTAAATAATTTTCAGTAGGTAGTGAATAATAAGAGTTCTGTTATTTTTGCGGAAAGATTTCTGTAATTTCTATACTTTTCAAAATTATATGTGATATAACACCTACTGAACGAAATCATAACCTCACTTTATTTGAAATAAAGATAATTGAACAATTGTATTTATTCGCAGGCAACAAAGTGCGGCTACTGTGGTTTCATTTTGCGAGGGTCGTGTGGAATAATTTTGGATCATGATTGCTTTGCCGCATACAATGAAGATACTGACATTATAAGTGTTGACGAAAATGCCATCGCACTATGAGTACGTTAAAAATAATGCTTGATGATATTGACGTTTCAGTGCTTGCTATTATTGATACACTTGCTATTATTAATAGCAATTACACATTAACAATTTCTAGTTTTAATAATATATATTTTTATACATGAGAGATAGTGTTATATGACTTAAAAATACAAGGAACTGTTAAAGGTGCGCATCAAGCATTGAAAGGTCGTAAAAAATATAAATGTCTCACTGATCCAACATATTGACCAATTAAGACATTTCACAGTAACTTGAGTCATTGCGTATTTATTTTAAAGGGAAGAGACTTGAAACTGAAGTTGTACAGCATTCAAAGGCTGGAGCTGAACAGCGTGTGTCCACACACTCTACGCACACTCTCACACAAGATGAATTGCTGATTGAGTTGGTTCGTGTTCGAAGAGCTTTATGGGATCATTCCATTCCAACTAGCGAAAGAACGAAGTTAAAAAAAGATAATCTGTGGCAAGAGATTGTAAACGCATTTAGTGGTAAGATCATTTTTTATTTAATTACTTATATGAAATATTTTATCCACGTGAAAAAATAAATGATAACTGATTCTCTGTAAATTGTAGAATCCCTCACTTTAGAAACAGTAAAACAAAGATGGAAACACCTTCGAGATTTTATATGAAAGCTAAGAAGAAAATGCGAGGATATATACGAAGTGGATCGGGGGCGGAATCAGGTCATCCATTAAAAAGTTCTTTCTACCATTATGAACAAATGAGATTTCTCGACAATATTGAAAAGATAGCTCCGTAAGTATTAATTTACATTGTTTTTAACTGAGATTTTACAAACGTTCAAATTGTGTGCTATTGAATTTAATAATTTTTAAAATCGTTTTTATTTCAGAACTGCCAGCTCCATTCAGCACTTTTTAGAAATGCCTTCATCTCATAATGATGTGCAAATGGATACTATGCAAGACGATAACTTTGACAGTTTTGACGATTCTATAATGGATTCTGCATACCCACCATCAGAAACATCACAAACTTCATCATGTCCTCGGCACGGGCTAAAAAGAACAGTAAGTGACAATTGTTTATTTCAAAATTAAAAAGATAAGATATGGAACTACGAGCTAATCAAGATCTTAATGCTAAAATATTAAACATTTATTGTTCAACATTTTAACATTAAAGACCTTGCTTGGCTCACAGTCCTATATCTTGTCTTTTGATTTTCCTTTGGTTTTGTATTTTTTAGACACTCACCATGTATACGTATATATTATTAATTACAGATGTCCAAAAGCAAACTGAAATAGAAAAGAAATTTTTAAGCATGATTGATGAAGAATTGTCGCAGAAAAAACGTGATGCAGTCGACAGTTATTTAGAACAGCTTGGCGACATACTACGTCGATTGCCCTATATACGACGCAGAAACCTACAAAGAAAAATGCTCGATATTGCCATAGAAGAAGAGGATGCCATGTTTGCAGAGAGGGAGAATGCTAATTAGAAATATTTCTTTAATATTATAAATTTTTAATGTTTTGTATTACTTCGTAAAAATAAAATATATTTTTCTATTTATTACATAATTTTATTTAAAGTTTTCAAGTCATTACGTAATATTTAAAACTTATAATTTATACATAATGTGTCAAAAGTCGTTATTTAGAACTTTGTCCAATTGCCACGATAAAGGATTGACATGCTCAAAATAATAAGTAAAGTTGTCTCGAATTTTCATTGCTATAGACCTTTGTGAAGAATTTGTATAACTTGCACGTCTAAGTCCGTTACTTGTAGCCAGAAAGTCATGTTCTTGTATATTACTGTATCTTCTTTCTGCAAGTTCTACTTCCATTTCCTTATTAATATTAAAAATTATGCAAGACAATCGTTGCCTGCACAGCTTTTACGACAGTAGATGTGTTTGCAATAATAGGTTGACGATATATTCTCCATCTTGCAACCAAAATCCCAAAAGCACATTCAACAGTTCTCCTTGCTCGACTCAAGCGGTAATTGAAAATTTTTCTACTAATATTTAGTCGCCCACTACGAGGATATGGTCGCATCATATATGTGCTCAAAGGAAAAGCCTCATCTCCCAGCAAAACGTACGGAAATTCCAAATCTGTATCATTCAAACGCCTTGGTAGAGGGATATGAAGAGCATTTGTTTCAAGTATATATGGTAATCCACTGTTTTCAAAAACGCCTCCGTCGCTTTGCCTTCCTTCAGCTCCAATATCAACAATGACGAAGCGGTTCTTGGCATCACTTACTGCGAGCAGATTTATGCTGTGATTTCCTTTATAGTTGTAGTAGCACGAACTACTACGAGGCGGTGCCTGCAATTGAAAACCATCATTGTGATGAACACATTACTCATTCCAAATCATACATCATTACATTATTAATATAATATATTAAACCTAAATTAATATTATTATTTGTAATATACATACCTGAATTATGACATGCTTTCCATCGATAGCGCCTATGCAGTTTGGAAATTGGCATATTGCTTCAAAGTCTCTTGCAATTGTATTCCAGTTTTCTTCAGTCGGGTCAATCATAACTTTCTCCTGTAAAGAGATCCAAATTGCTTGACATGTTTCCGGAATAATTTGTGATAGCGTACATTGGGCAATGCGAAAAGCGTACGATAGCGATGTCATGCTATCGCCAGATGCCAACCATCGTAGAGTCACTTCTAATCTTGTTCTGGCTGGTATTGGTTTTCGAACTACATGTTGTTTTTCAATTAGTGGACCAACAATATTGAGTAATTCGTTAAATATTGTTGGTGACATTCTGAAGTAATTGAAATATTTTTCCGGATCTGTCAATCGCATTTCACAACTAGATTGTCGCTGGCACCTTGCAGAAGTCTTCTTCTCTGCATAAAAATAGGCCGTACCCACATTGCACGATCTTTTTGTCTTGCAATTTTTTATAACGCAAATACAAATAAAACATTGAAATAACTTTTTTTCTTATCTTAGCATATCTCATCGGTTCATTCCTTGATCGTATGAGATACTTTTAATAATCATCAACATCAAGTTTGGATCCATATAACACAGCAACTTTTAAAAGAATCAAAGTATGAAAACTTTCTTTTTCAATCGACTCCGAAATTTTATGGTACACACTTCATTGACAACAGATTTTGATGCGGTCGTTCCGCGAGTTTGTTTCTCCTTATATTACATGGAGCACAATTTCCGCGGAACAGCGGAACGGTATAGTGACAAATAGACATTTGTATTAATTTTTAAATTTATATTTACTTAATTCATTGTAATTCCTTTTAATATGTTCATCTTTTCAACTTATCTATTGAATACAAGCATTTTAATCAATAAATATAGTTAAATATTAATATTTTATAATTCCCCGTTCCGCTTTTCCGCTCAAAATGTGCTCCATGTAATATAAGGCAATCAAAACAGACGGAACGGAACGCGCGGAAATGCGGGACTCTAGTAAAGTTTAGTTACTTTCTCTTCCGCGTTTCCGCGTTTTCCGCGCGTCCATGTAATCGTACCCTTAAGATTTCGAGAAACCCAGCGATCTCCCTACGGCTCGATAATAGTGTTATAGTTATTTTCATTCACTCTATTTATATGCTATTAATTGAAAATATATTCTTATTTTATCTTATTTCTGAGTACAATCAATATCGAGATTTCCTCTCTCTCTCCGGGACTGCGATTCCGAATCTCCTTACGGAAAGAACCACGACACTCTACCCCTGGTGATACCGAGCTACCGAGGCCGAGCCGTCGTGTCCGCTGATTATTTACCGAGATATTGTTGAGTGGTGCGGCCTGACCGCACCTGGCGCCCAAAAGATACGATACCGAGCAATTAGTGATACCGAGCAAGTATTGAGAGAACGAAGAGCGGCACGACGAGGTTGCGCAGCAGTCTCTCTCGCACTCTCTCTCTCGTTTGACGAGAGAGGGCGGAGAGACGGTCGCAATATATATTAAATAGAACACTTTAAAATTATCCATAAATAGTCTGACAATAGTATTGAATTATTTTGCATATTATAAATTTTATAAAATTTTTTACATGTATACATATAAATGTTAAATATTCCTTAAAATTTTTTTTTATAATTTCCTCAAAAATGTTTTAAAAATCTAAATTTTTTGTAATAATTTTTCAGAATTTATTATTAATTAATAATGATATCACTGGTGTTTTTGCTATGGGGGAAATATTACAAAATGTAATTAAAAATAGGGTAAAATGTAAAAACATCATACATTTCAGAAATATTCATTAATCTATATATATATATATATATATAGATTAATGAATATTTCTGAAATGTATGTTTTTACATTTTACCCTATTTTTTTATTACATTTTGTAATATTTCCCCATAGCAAAAACACCAGTGATATCATAGTGATATATTCTGGATGTCATTAACGATATGCGAATGTCCGCTTGTGTTACAAGTGTAATGTCACAATGATATCTGAAAATATCGGAAATATTTTCACAATAAGCAACGTTCTGCTCTGTCTTTGAATGTATTTCATTTATTATTTATAGCGATACAAAAAAATCCAAAAGCGTCATTTTATCTTTAATTTCCATTGAATAATGATGTATTAACGTAAATCGCATTATTTCATTCTATTTTTATATCTATATAGCAAAAAATAAAGATATAATATAATATTAACATTAATTTATATCTCTATATAAATATTATGAAATGCATTCAAAGATAGGACAAAATATAACCCCCATAGCAAAAACACCAGTGATATCATAGTGATATGTTCTAGATGTCATTAACGATATGCGAATGTCCGCTTGTGTCACAATGATATCATTGTGACATTACACTTATTGTGATAAAGCGGACATTCGCATATCGTTAATGACATCTAGAACATATCACTATGATATTACTGGTGTTTTTGCTATGGGGGTTATATTTTGTCCTATCTTTGAATGCATTTCATAATATTTATATAGAGATATAAATTAATGTTAATATTATATTATATCTTTATTTTTTGCTATATAGATAAAAAAATAGAATCAAATAATGCGATTTACGTTAATATACATTATTATTCAATGGAAATTAAAGATAAAATGACGCTTTTGGATTTTTTTTGTATCGCTATAAATAATAAATGAAATACATTCAAAGACAGAGCAGAACGTTGCTTATTGTGAAAATATTTCCGATATTTTCAGATATTCTGATTTTACGCAATCTTTATGAGAATTCTGACAATTTTTATTTTTCACCAGGGATGAGGATAACATCGCTGAAGAAATCCATGAAGATGCTGAAATGGAAAATTACGTGGACGACGATAAGATCCAAGAGGACACAGAACGCGTAGACGATATGGAAGTACTGAAGTACTTAACAGAAAGTAATGTATGGTCAACATAATATTTTTTTAAGTACTTTGGAGAAGCAGTATCAAATTTGGGACGTGCTTCACAGGGATCGGCGGGGAGGGGCCGTTCTCACCTCTAATTTATTTGTTTTCTGTTTCAGGTAAAGCCTTGTGTCCACGATCCGAGAATTCGGTCCGAGAAGTTTGTAGCCAATAAAATAGCCGCTTTTCTGTAAAAGCTGCAAATTGATTGGTTACAAACTTCTCGGTCCGAGAACTCGGACCAAATTCTCGGATCGTGGACACAAGGCTTAAGATATGGAGGGGCAAATTTTTTTGTTGTGCCTCACAGGAAAAGGCGGGGATGGGGCCTTTTCCCCAAAAACAAAATAATAATAGGAAAAATTAATAAACCTGAAAAATAGGCCAGATAACGAGCAAAAAATTTTTTTAGATGTAGAAATAATTGAAACTTATTTATTTGTATTATAAAAGTATGATGAAGTTCAATTATTTCTACATCTAAAAAATTTTTTACTCGTTATCTGGCCTATTTTTCAGGTTTATTAATTTTAAATTATACACGAGCGTTTTGTTATTTTTATGGTTTTTTTTATAATAATAGGACTTAAATAAGATCGAGTACACTGAAAAAAAAATTTTGTTAGATTAACAAAAATTCTGTTCGAAAATGGACGAAACGGAATTCTGGTTGAATCTACCAGAATTCCTTTTAATACAACAAATATCTTATTTGCACCAATAAACTGATTTGTTGTACAAACAAGATGCTTGTTGCATTAAAAGGAATTCTGGTAGATGCTTGTTGCATTAAAAAGAATTCTGGTAGATGCTTGTTGCATTAAAAGGAATTCTGGTAGATTCAACCAGTAATTCCGTTTCGTCCATTTTCGAACAGAATTTTTGTTAATCCAACAAAATTTTTTTCCAGTGTAGGATTTTCTTGTTACAAGTAGTTTCAGCGGTAATAGTTTAATTTATAATTTAATTAAAATAAATGTACTTTGCGTTTATAATTGATATATTAGTTATTAAACATGTATTGTACATATATTATATATATAATTTTTTTTTATACATATACATTATTACATCATTGTAACATATAAAATACGCATATATATATTTATAACTTTTTAAAAAATTATATGTATTTTTTATGAGATAAATAAATAATTGTTTTTTAATTATAAATTGATTTTACTGTTTTTTTTAATTATAAAATAATAATAAAAGAAAAAAAGGGGAAGAAGAGGAGGAGGAAGCTGTGTACGAACATCCTTTTCGTACTGAACTGTACTGATGTTGTACTGGTCGTACTGATACCATACTAGTATTATAAGAGTACAGCGTATGATAAAATTTTATTTCAATATACAGTGGTGATACAGTGGCGCTACAGTAGCCGTACCGCGTACTAATACGGTGTGTTTGGTAATGTACTCCTACGGTACGCACGTACGTGGTAGGTACCGTACTGATACATAAATACGACGTACGCTCTCCGTACCGGTACCGTGGAAGTATTTTGTTATCTGGGGATTAATAAAGTGGCAAACGGACATCGACGCGCCACCTGTTGGTAGACGAGTGAAACCCGTAGCCAAAGCTGTTGAACAATCACGAACTGCAACATAGATGCGAAACTCGATGTGTCTTTCACATTTTGACCCAAGTTACTAGATCTAGGGAAAACTTGGTGAATTGAACAGCTTTCGGTTTTCTTTACTTTTAAAGTGATTTTATATACAAAACACTGTTTCTTGCACAATTGGACTAATTTTACCAAAATAATTATATATTATACATATTTTTACAAAAAGTGATAAATGATTGTTAAATAGAAATCAGCACTATAAATTATTGCTGATATTAGCATATGTGAACATAACAAAGATGTTTGACTTAATATATGTTGTTTGAAACCTCAGGTTACCAGATTAGTAAAAAATTGATAAACTGAATATTCTTTACTCCTTTTGTGCTTTAATACACAATGGGGTGATAAAAATGTTAATAACTTGAATTATTGGATGAATTTACTAAATTATATAAATGAAGTGATAATTAAACCTAGTGCATTGATCCGAAACTGACTATTACATTGTTAAACTCTAATTATGATACATGGAGTGTTGCCAAGTTACCGAATAAACACGAACTGCGGCATAGATATGCAACTTGATGTTTCTTGTGCGTTTCAGCCCAGGTTACTAGATCTGGGGGAAATTTGGTGAATTGGACAATCTTTAGTTTTTTCCTTATTTTCAAGTAATTTTGTATACAAAACATTGTTTTCTCATATAATTGGATCAATTTATCTAAATAATCGTATATTGTGTATAATCTTCACAAAAGTGATAAATGATTGTCAAAATGAAATCAGCACTATAAATAGTGCTGATTACTAACATATGTAAATATAATATAGACCTACTACTCAATAT